GACCTGTCCGACCACCTCAGGGCTGCAAGCCATTGTGACCATGGTGACCCTGACCCCAAGGGATGGGAATTTCACCAAAATGGGTGGATTTCACCGGAAATCAAAAAATGGTGGACCTTCCATGATTTTCATATGAAAAGATAGAGATTCAACGGCGAAAGCGATGACTGGTTGGTGGTCCACTAACCATCTTGAAAAATGTGAGTTCGTCAATGGGAAGGATGACATCCCATATATTCTGGAAAAATAAAAAATGTTCCAAACCACCAACCAGGATGATGAATCTTAAGCACAAACCACCACCTTTACACCGGGTGAATCTTAACCACCTATCATTGGGGTCGACGACATGGAAAGGGGTTGGCAGTTGGCTAAGAACGAACATATCACCCGCTACACATGAATGAATCCACCCGTGCATGTAAGAAATCACAGTCAAGTGCTTCCAGTAAGTCATTTCAATTATCTACAGGTAGATATCGATGTACGGAGTTCGGAGGTTTCCTAAAGTAGGGCATCCCCAAAACAATGGCTTTCAATACTAGAATGCTTTAATTTGGGTTTGGGCTAAAAGACCCCCATTTTGGGAAACCCCCATTTATATTATGTAACTCATTCGGGTGGATTCACAGTAGCGAACCAAGCCTCTTCAATCCTCATTTCTCATCCCGATACGCTAAATCATGGCTGGTAAATATTTCCCTTTGGAAATGGATGAGTTTCCCACTAAAATTTCCATTTGTAGATGATTTCCTTAATTTTCCCATTAAATCCCATCCAAACCTCCATGTCTATGCCATGTCCCCATCCCTCGTCGAGGACGAGGTGCGCAGGACATGGGCCTTGCGCCCGCGCACCCCCAAGTCCACGAAGGCCTGGAAGAATCCCATTCGTTATAGTGTATGCAACTATGACTATACCTATGGTTAATGTATAACTATGGTCAATGTATAGGTGCATGTGTATGTAACTGTGGTTAATGTATAACCATGGTTAATGTAGAACTATGATTACAACGACGGGTATACTCTTCACAATATCATTAATTAAAACATATATATATATGTGTGCGGTAATGAGTAAATGGTAATATTTATACTTTGTATGTAACTATGAAAACTATGGTTATACTTTATCTATATGTATCCATTTATATGGTTATACTATGTTATACTATGGTTATACTATGGTTATACTATGGTCATACTATGGTTATACTATGGATATACTATGGTTATACTATAGTTATAGTGTCCATTTATAAATATAATGTATGGATGGATGGATGGGTGTGTGGATGTATGGATGTTATGGATCTGGTGAGTAGCCATAGTATCCACGTATGGTATATGTAGTGCTGTAGTTAGTAACCATACTTAGAAGATAGAGAGAGAGAGATATATATATATACATCGGATAAGTCACTTATGGGACTTGCTAACCAGGGTTACTGAGCAGCTCCTAAGTGGAGTGGTCCTTCAAGTAATGACCATGTATCTGTGAGTCTAACGTTTTTGACCAAAAGGCCGTTTCTCAGGATGGGGTAGACTGGTATATCATGTATCTCCCCTTACCTATGACTAAGACCACTAAGTTTTGGCGGTTTGAAACAATCTACCAACCAATGGGAAAGAACATGTATGGATTGAGCTTCAATAATGCTTACCGGAAATGTACAATGCACATGAAATAGAAACAGGGATATGGCTGAAAAAGGTACCATAAAATACGATATAGCGACTACGTATATGAAAAGATGCAAGCACCAAGAATAGGGATAACATCGCCAGATATGGGGACAGGATGGGACAGGAACAAGAGAAAATGGAGAAACACAAAACAACCAACATGGTGGTCTCAGCAATCAAATTGCGGTTCACCGGTAACCAAAAGTGGTGATGTCTTTCATCAAAACTGATGGTGGTGCCTAAAATGGGACCCGGATCATTTTGAAACACCGGATAAGGCTCATTTTGAAACACAGAGGATAAGGATCATTTCGAAACACAAAAGCCCCGGATAAGGATCATTTTGAAACACATCCAAGATACTGCTGTTTAAGACATCTGGAAGGCATAGCATTTCTTTGTAACCACCATGGCGCTTGTAACACCACAGCACATTGATGAAACCCTAGCAAATCAGCTCTTCAAACAAAAACAATCAAAAAAACAAGTTAGCTCTTACAAGGAGATTCATCCCTATCATAAATGCAATGTGACCGCAAAAGGCTTGAGTCTTTTCCCGTCAGCCATCTATTTGTGGCAGCTTTGTCCGGCAATTCATGAGGATCTCGTTCGAGACACGTATCAAAAAAAAATAAAAATGCATCAAAAAAAATATCCAGCACGCATCAAAAAAAAATATATGCATCAAAAAAAATATCCAGGTGCCACTGTGTGAGACCTCACGGGTTTCGTGCTGCAAACCTAGATCAAAAAAAATATCCGTATCAAAAAAAAATCATAGTAGTAGTAGGAGGAGTAGTAGTAGTAGTAGCAGTAGTAGTAGTAGTAGTAATAGTAGTAGTAGTACTACTACTACTAGTAGTAGTAGTAGCAGTAGTAGCAGCACTAGCAGCAGTAGCAGCAGCAGCAGCAGTAGTAGTAGTCGTAGTCGTAGTCGTAGTGGTAGTAGTAGTAGGTAGTAGGTAGTAGTCGTAGTAGGTAGTAGTAGTAGTAGTAGGTAGTAGGTAGTAGGTAGTAGTAGTAGTAGTAGGTAGTAGTAGTAGGTAGTAGTAGTAGTAGTAGCAGTAGTAGCAGCAGGAAAAAGAAAGGAATAGTAGGTAGCAAGGGGAACCGGTTTAAAAATAAAAGCGGGTGGGGGGGTGCAGGGGGGAGGGCGCAGCGCCTCCCCCCGCAATGCGTACCAAGAGAGAAGCACATAGGCACAAGTCTCAATGGATATATTGCAAGTAAGAACGACAAGATCAAAAAAGAAGCACATAGGCACAAGTCTCGATGGATATCAGCAAAGATGAAATTAACCCAAATAAACGATGATGCTTATGCAAAAAGAAAGGAATAGTAGGTAGCAAGGGGAACCGGTTTAAAAATAAAAGCGGGTGGGGGGGTGCAGGGGGGAGGGCGCAGCGCCTCCCCCCGCAATGCGTACCAAGAGAGAAGCACATAGGCACAAGTCTCAATGGATATATTGCAAGTAAGAACGAGAAGATCAAAAAAGAAGCACATAGGCACAAGTCTCGATGGATATCAACAAAGATGAAATTAACCCAAATAAACGATGATGCTTATGCAAAAAAAATAAAAGGAATAGTAGGTAGCAAGGGGAACCGTTTTAAAAATAAAAGCGGGTGGGGGGGTGTGCAGGGGGGAGGGCGCAGCGCCTCCCCCCGCAATGCGTACCAAGAGAGAAGCACATAGGCACAAGTCTCAATGGATATATATATATATTGCAAGTAAGAATGACAAGATCAAGAAAGAAGCACATAGGCACAGGTCTCGATGGATATCAGCAAAGATGAAATTAACCCAAATAAACGATGATGCTTATGCAAAAAGAAAGGAATAGTAGGTAGCAAGGGGAACCGGTTTAAAAATAAAAGCGGGTGGGGGGGTGCAGGGGGGAGGGCGCAGCGCCTCCCCCCGCAATGCGTACCAAGAGAGAAGCACATAGGCACAAGTCTCAATGGATATATTGCAAGTAAGAACGACAAGATCAAGAAAGAAGCACATAGGCACAAGTCTCGATGGATATCAGCAAAGATGAAATTAACCCAAATAAACGATGATGCTTATGCAAAAAGAAAGGAATAGTAGGTAGCAAGGGGAACCGGTTTAAAAATAAAAGCGGGTGGGGGGGTGCAGGGGGGAGGGCGCAGCGCCTCCCCCCGCAATGCGTACCAAGAGAGAAGCACATAGGCACAAGTCTCAATGGATATATTGCAAGTAAGAACGAGAAGATCAAGAAAGAAGCACATAGGCACAAGTCTCGATGGATATCAACAAAGATGAAATTAACCCAAATAAACGATGATGCTTATGCAAAAAGAAAGGAATAGTAGGTAGCAAGGGGAA